AATACTTATTGTGGACAATCTTTTTAGTTATTAACAATCTGGTGTGAATGATCATTTTTTTATGTTTTGACGTAATATGCTAAACTTAAATCAAATAATTTTTAATATAACGTGCAGTTTATTTTATTAAAGTGATGCATTATATTTTTAATTTAAAAGGGACGCTAGAACATTTTTTTTATAAGACATCGGGGTGCCCTAAAACGGAATAAAGATTTCATTATGAATTATTGTAAACCCGATAAGATACCTGAAACCCAATGAGGCGCCCCGATAAGGTACCCAAAAGATATCGGAGCGGGTTTGGGAAACCATGCCCCGCCCCGTACCCGCCCCGTTGCCATTCCTAGCTGTGGCGTGCTTACAAAAAGGGAGAACCAGATTAGGAATCTTTTACGAAGGGTATATTAGGTAATATGAGTAGCTGGGGAATTATGTTCAACACATTTGAAGATTTGGAAGTGTTTTATATTGAGCACATGAAGAAACAAATTGGACGTGATAGGGTATGGGTCGTGGGCCCATCACTCCCCTACGAAGATGGCCCGATGGCGGTGGTTACCATTGTACGTAGTGGGTCGAGTGCAGTGCCACCTGATGAGCTGCTCATGTGGTTGGACAAAAAGCCCAATGACTTTGTTGTTTATATATTCTTTGGGAGCCGAGGGACATTAAGTGAGAATGAAATGAGTGCGTTGACAAGTGCACTTGAACTTAGTAACGTTCACTTTATCTTGTGTATAAAGGCAAGCGATTCAAGCTTCATTCTAAGTGGATTTGAAGATTGGGTGGGGGTCGAGGGTTTATAGTCAAAGGTTAGGCCCCACGTTTGGTTATACTGAGACATCAGGCTATTGTGTCGTTTTTGAGTCATTGTGGGTGGAACTCGACGTTAGATGGAGTTGCAGCAGGTCTCGTGATGCTGGCGTGGCCATAAGGTGTAAACCAATATACAAATGAGAAGCTACTAGTTAATTAGTTGGGTGTTGGGAAACAAGTTTGTAAGGGAGGAAATGAGAGTATTCCTGACTCGGTTGAGTTGGCTCAGTTGTTGGATGAGACGTTGAGTTGTGATAGGCTAGAACGAGTTAAAATTAAGGAGTTACGCCAAGCAGCTACCAAGGTGGTGAAAGAAGGAACATCCATGACATATTTGGATATGTTCACCAAGCTTCTATCGGAGTTTTAAGATCTCAGTAGAGAAAAAGGATAAAACACAATAATGATGAGCACTGGATACTAAAATGTCACACGAATTCCTTCATTCGATCAATATAATATAAGCACTTTATGCATTTAAACTGATTACATTTTCTATAATATTTTAACACATAGAAAAACAAGTAAAATCAGTACCTAAAAATTGTTTTAGAGGATTTTTCCAACGACTTCTTCTTCAGTTTCGACCATCCAACAGACAAATGGACAACATTCAATTGTTAGGTACCAAACAAACTACACAGATGAAAACTCTCAAGAATCCATATCTAAAACAATCATGTATCAGAATATCAGAAAACGCTAAAGGGGTAATCATGTATTTTTACCTTTAAAGTGTATAAAAATCTGCTTATGGTGTACGTCATTTTTTAAGGTTGTGTATTTTATTTTTTTTTGCTTTCACAGGATGTATATGGTTCTCAACCTCATTGAATACAATGTACAACTGAGAGTACAATTGATCGCAAACGTTCCTCCCCATGGATATTTGCGACAAAAAAATGCACAATTAATTTTGTAAAAAACATTAGTAATGATAATTATAAATTAACGACATGGTACATTTTGAATTCATCAAGGTTGGATACCAATGCCAAAATCTTGTCTTTCAGAGGCTGACGAGGAAACCTTCCATTGAAACCCTTCTCTAACTGAGAGTACAATTAAACGCATATTGTCCCTCCCCACTGATAATTCATTAAGCAATCCTTCATGCACATCGACGCCAAGATTGGAATCAGAGCCACCAAAATATTCATCAAACTGGAAGCCGGTTACAAGACATAATTCTCTTTTCCCGAGAGTCAGCTCGTACCCCTCGATCTCAAAAATCATTTTACTTCCCTCTGAGGGTCTGTTACAACTTATATCCAAAACACGTAATGCAGAAGTAAATAATCCCCCTCTACCACCGTAGGAATATCTAACCACATACCAAAACAAGTCTTTCGAAACATAGCCTCGCGTGGCGGTCTGTCCCTGAGTCTTGCAAGAATATCCGTAGCAATGACGGGTTTTCAAGATAGTGTAATTGATGCACCAAAAATCTTGCCATGCTGCAAATAAAACTAAACAAATTAATTTTAAGGTAATTCAAAAATCTCGCGTGGCGGTCTGTCCCTGAGTCTTGCAACAAACCATCCTTATGAGTATGACACCTGTGACTGTTCTATCATAATTCATTTTTACATATTCCACTTTACTAGTTTTTATATGCTTTCAATATTTCATTATGTTACACGAATATACTACTATTGTAGTTACGGCTCGCCTTAAAATGAATAGACGAAAAAGAACATAGAAACTTGTTGCATTTAGTACATTGTGGATTGATATAATCAGTTTAGTAAATTGGTATTTTTAACTAGTGAATACTATTATTGCCATACATATATTCATGTGTCCACCTAGACCTCGCTACAAGATGTTATACCCGAAAAGAAACGAGTATATGAAAATGGTAGTATACGAAAGTGACGAGCCTTGTATACAACAAATAAGAATGAATTGGTCAACATTTGTTAAGTTGTGTCGTATGCTTGAGATTGATGGCAAGTTAAAGGCCTCTAGGTATCTCCAAATCTACGAACAAATGGAGATATTTTTGTATGTTTTGGCCCACCATGTGAAAAATCGTGTGGCGAATTTTTAGTTTCATAGATCAGGAGAGACCATTAATAAACATTTCAATAATGTACTCAATGTTGTTATTTGATTGGAAAAAGAATTGTTTAAGAAACCCGAGCCTATATCAGAAACTTCAACCGGTGAAAAATGGAAATGGTTCAAGGTACATGATTGTGTATATAGATTATTCTTGGTTAGTATTCTAATTTCATACATATTTAATTTTATATATAGGGATGTTTAGGAGCAATAGATGGGACACACATAAGTGTACATGTACTAGACGTAGACAAACCTAGATACAGAAACCGAAAAGGCGAAATAACAACGAATGTACTTGTTGCTTGCACTCTTGATGTGCAATTCATTTATGTATTACCAGGCTGGGAATAATTTGTTGCGGATGGTAGAATACTACGTAGTGCAATGCTTCGAGAAAATGGGATTACAAGTTAGTAAAGGTAGCTATTATCTTGTTGATGTCGGGTATACGAATGGAGAAGCATTCCTCGCACCATTTAGATGTCAAAGATATCATTTGAATACTTGGTTGAATGGTCATGAACCAGAAAAGGCTGAGGAATATTTTAACATGAAGCACTCGGCGGCAAGGAACGTCATAGAACGTTGCTTTGGGGTATTAAAAAAGATGGGCTATACTGTAACACCCCGACTCCCAGGTATAAGTTTTAAAACATGATATACATGTTTATGGACTTACTCGACGAGTTGGTTGCCCCAACTCGTCGTGTAGGGTTAGCCCGCGTGGATTATTGGATCTACTCAACGAGTCGGAGGACCCGGACTCGACGAGTAGGAGCTGGGAGATGAAACCCTAAATTTTAGGGTTTGCATCCTATTTTAAAGGACCTTAAGTCCTTACCTCCAGTCCCTTATCACCTCTTGACGGCCATAAGAAACCCTAATCACTATTAACCTTGTTCTTGAGTGTTGTGAGGCTTAAAGAGTGATTTTGGTGCATTTCGTGAAGAAGGTGTGAAGTATAAGAAGCTTGGAGCAAAGAGGAGCTTGTGGATCTGACTCTACTTCATCTTGGCATCATGTTGAAAGTAACAAGTCGTTACCTTGGCTTATCTTTAGCTAGATCTTTTCATGCTTAGGTTTAGGGCCATCTTTAGCATTTTTGGGAGTCATTTCGTGTATTGGGGTGATCTGAAGTTGTAACTTCAGATCTGGACTCTTCTTGGTCCCTATAGCCATAAAGTTATCTGATTTAGAAAGCTTGTGCCTTTCCCCTTGAGTTAAACCTTTCCCTTAGCTTGGTTTTGGTATTTAGGACCATGCATGCACGTAAAGTTTGCAACTTTACGTGGAAATCATGCCCTAGGAGGTTAGATCTGCATTATGGAGCTTTGGGGTGGCTTAAAAACGTCTGAATAAGAAATGGACTGCATGAACTCGACGAGTCGAATTATTCTATGGATCTTACATATACTTAAAAGTCCATCATTCTATCCTATTCAGACACAAAATAAAATTATCCTTGCGTGTTGCCTTCTACATAACTTTATACGGACGGAATTGCCTTATGATCCACATGACGATGATGAAATTATTGACACAAACAATGATGATGACGATGCATATCTTGGATCACAAGGCGAGCACATAACAACAATTAGAACATCGAATGAATGGACAACTTTTAGAGAAAACTTGGCTAACTCAATGTTTAATTCTTGGAGATCTAGGCATAACAGATTTATCATTATTGTATTAACTACATTGTGATACATTTTTATGAAATTTCAGTAATATTTTGTTTTCAGTTATTTTGTGGTTACTAGTGACTTCTTATATATTTAATAAATGTTATTGTAGTTGTTTACATATCATTATTGTTACTTTTCAAGGTATGGAGTCACAAGTTCATAGTGATAGGGCCCAAGAAAAAAATAAAAGGAAGTGGAATGACATAGAAGACGAGAAACTTGTTGAATCTATGTTTGATATATTAAATTTGGATTCTCACTTTAAATCTAAAAATGGTTTTAAGCCTGGGTTCTTTGGTGTGGTGGAAACCCGACTTGCAGTCTCACTTCCCAACTTTGGAATAAAAGCAAAGCCGCATATTGAATCATGCATAAAAACTTTGAAGAGTGATTGGTCCGCTGTGCGTTATATGACGTCATGAAACAACACAATTGGTTTTGGATGGGATTATGAAAATTTTATGCTTCAAGATCCTCAATCAGTTTAGCAAGCATATGCTCAGGTAATGTTTTTAATTGATGGTCCACAATTATTTTTGAGTGTAAATTATACGCATGGTCCCTATGGTTTTGGGTTGTTTGGACGCTTAATTCCTAACATATTTTTTAAAAGTCGGACGGTCCTTATTATGTATTTTGTTGGGCGTTTGGTCCCTATCAGAGTTAAAAAGACTTTATTGCCCCTGTTCAATTTTTTTCTTATTAATTTATTGTTTTTAAATATTTATTAATTAAAGAAATTGTTTAATTATAGTTAAAAAAAAATTGAAAAAACAATCAAAATAAGAGAAGAATATAGATGCACGTTGTCATCATCCCTTCATCCCCGTCATTTTTTCCCAAATTCCCTGATAATGTCATCGTCTCCATAGGGCATCACCTCATACCCAGCCACCGGAAATCACCTCTTCTGCTGGAAATTGTCACACCCCCAAACCAGACGGCGGAAACGTCCGGGGGTGGAGGACTTCATTTGTAGTATCACAACACATGCATTATAGTAATCAGAGTACAAACAACCACTATATTTAAAAAGTATAAGTATTTACATGTGTTTCATCATTGTATACTGAAACTAAATAGTTATACAAAAGAAGAAGAAAAGGCATAAATAGCTCCATCTTCTCAAAAGCTCGGAGTGTACCTGTCTACTGGTTCCCTGAGAATACAAGTAATTTGAAAAGAGAGTATCAACAAAAAGTTGAGTGAGTGCATAAGTATTTATGTTT